AGCTCTCTTTTGTAATTTAAAAATACGGTCAAATTGAGTCGCACAGCACGAACCCCAGAATGGAAGGGCGTATCGAAGATGTGATTCGAAAAGGGCAAAGTAGACTGTTCTAGAAGTTGACAAGTTGAGTTCCTTGGAAACTGATCTTATCGCAAAGCAAGCGGAACTTAATTTTTTTGATAAAGAATCGATGTGCGAATTCCATTTTAGGGATTTGTCTAAAATAAGGCCCAAAAACTTTACGGAATCAACGACGTCAATAGTAGTAGTGTTATTAAGTACAATAGGTTGCATCGTACTTCTATATGATAGAACTTTTGTTTTCGCAGCGTTGAAGCAGAGGAAGTTAGAGTCGCACCATGTTTTAATAGCCAACAAGTCGATGGACATGGTTCTATGAAGAGCTACAATATCCGGGTTGCTCCAAGTGAAACTAGTATCATCAGCAAAAAGACAGATTTTACCGCTGATGTCTAGACTAGCAATATCGTTGATAAACAGCAAAAATAATATTGGACCCAACACGGAACCCTGTGGAACTCCACATTCTATTGGCTTGCATGAAGACGTCGTCGTATCAACCCTCACAAGCTGTTTTCTGTTGTTAAGATACGACTTGAACCATTCCAGAGGAGAGCCTCGAATTCCATAATGCTGCAATTTGTTAATTAGGATATTATGACTTACACAGTCGAATGCTTTAGAAAAATCACAGAAAATTGATGCTGTGGAGTGCAAATTGTTCAAGCTAGAGAAGACATTATTGAAGACAGAGAACATAGCATCAATAGTGCATTTGTTGGTTAAAAATCCAAATTGGTGGATAGTTAGTATATTATATTTATGCAGAAATGATAGAAGCCTTTTCTTAACCAATCTTTCAATGATTTTGGATAAAGTAGGAAGAAGTGCAATTGGACGATAGTTCGACTCTTGGTCCTTATCACCTCCCTTGTGCAGAGGAATAATTATAGCCGTCTTGAGGCAATCTGGGAACACTCCTTGTTGAAAAGATTTATTTATTAAAGCAGTGAGGAGATTTAATGTACACTCCGGTAAATTGAAGAACATTTTTAAAGTTAGTCCATCAGTCCCAGATGACACTTTGTTTTTTATGTCTTTAATTGTGCTGAAAAGCTCTAGTGTTTCTACGGGTGTTAGGAAGAAACTGTGTAAATTCATATTGGTACTGGAAAGATATGAAAGCGGATCGCGAGAAGGAGCTATAGTGGTCATTAAATTTTTTGCCACATTTACAAAGTAGTTATTCAAGTTCTCAGGGGAAGTAGAGGTTATACTGGAAGAGATAGCCTTATTTCTCAAGTCGTTGACAATAGACCACGTTTCTTTGGCAATATTTTCAGTTCTAGCGAACCGGTTGTTATAATATGTGTCTTTGGCGGCTTTTATAGTTTTATGATAAATTTTTCTATAGAGTTTAACATAATTTTGAAAGAAGAGACTGTCTGAAAATTTTTTTAGGTGTGACAATGAGCGCATGTTCTTTGCCGATGTCCTCAAGCCTTTAGTAGTCCAGGGTTTATGTTGCTTATTTTTGATAGGCCTGAGGGGAAATGCTTTGAAAGCCAAACCAGATAATTTATTTGAAAATGTTGAAAATGCATTATTGATGTCATCAGAGAGGCAACCCCAGTCAATTGTTTGACATGAGCGCTTGAAATTGAGGAAATTTTTTTCCGAATAAATTCGGCGAAACTTATTTGGGGCAATCCTGCTATTGCTCTTTAGAGAAAAGTTTGTGAGTACTGCTTCATGATCTGAAAACCCTGAACTTAAGACAGTACAGTCAACAAAGCTTGGATCAAAAGATGACACGACGTAGTCGATAGTGCTAGATCTGGTTTTAGTTATTCGGGTTGGAGATTGAACATGCATGACCATACCAAAAGAGTCAAGTATAGACTGGAGAGAATCTTGAGCAGCACACACACTGGAAAAATCTATGTTAAAGTCGCCACATAAAATTAATTTACTCTTAAGAGGGAAAGACTCAAGCAAGCTTAGTAAGTTTTGAAAAAATGTAACCAAGTCAGCGTCAGGTATTCTGTAAATACAAACAATGTAGAGGTCCTAGATATTGTTGTAGACTATAGAAAATTCGAATAATTTTTCAGATAATAAATTGTCGAACTTGGTTATCGCCGAAAAGTTGTTATTAGTGGACATTATTACAGTACCTCCATGAGATAGTATACTTCTAGTATACCTAGATACTGTAGTGTAGTTTTTGACAAACACAGGTTCGTCAATATTGAGCCAATGCTCTGTTATGGCAATAATTTCTGGAAAATGTAGGTGTTCTAATAATAAATATAATTCATCGGTTTTGTGTCTAATGGACTGAATATTGATGAGAAATACACTAAGCTTGCTATCGTTAATTGTTTCAGAGGGTGCTTGTTCCTCTATTCGCGTCAAGGTATATAACCAGACACCCTGTACCTCCCTTACAGTTTTTGATATGATATAAGAAATGATGATTTTGAAATACATCTGATTTTTTTGGAAGTATAAATGATACAGTTTGAAATACATTTGATTAATTTGAAATACAAATGACATATTTGGAAATAAAAGTGACAAATTGGAAATTAAAATACCCATTTTTGAAATAAAAGTGATTATTTTGAAATACATTTGGCCCATTTTGAAATACTGTTGGAAATGGTGTAGTTGAGTGTTCCAATTTTTTTTTTGGCAACTGTTCCAGTTAAGCACCCTAATTTTGAGGCAACTAAAACAGTGACCCCTATTTTCTTATGCATTCATATAGCAATAATTATGAGGCGACTGGAACATATTGTAATGTATATGTAAAGATCCTACCTAATTTTATTTTTTTTGCTCAACAATTATGGGAAATATAGGAGATGGAACAAAAGTATTACTTAGTGGTGAGAAAATAACGTTTAATAAAAATGGTAAAATGAACAAAAAATATAATGAGACACCTATTTTCTTCGTAATTAATCCATATCTCAATTTCTGTATGGAGTTCAGCACACTTGACAGTTCTTCTTCTACTTCATTCATATATTCCTCCACCACCGTATCCTCTGCCGACTATATACCTTTCCCTCTTGTTTCAAATACAAAGAGTCTTATTGTGGATCTTGGGATGTCATAGAAAACGGCATAACTGTATATTGTTCTCCGCACTTTTGGAGGTTCTAAGAATATAATTTCCGACCATATTTGCTCGAATACCAACGAAAATATATACAATACAATGTTAATTTCAGGTGGAACATATGTTCCAGTTGGCCAAATTATATACGTTCCAGTTGTCTCTTGCCTCTGTGTTTCCATCATTTGAAATTCTAAGCTATGAACAAACTGGGTTACGTTCACAACATTTTTCTCTTGCGAATAAACATGCTCAATGCAATATTATTCACTGTAATCACTAATCATTGATTAAAATCCAAACTTCTGTCACTTATTATGATATGATATACTTTGTAAAAGTAACTAATTTATATTTTCTCCATGTGTGGGAAATTTCAATTTTAAGCCAAAAACTGTGGTATATGGCCCAGTTGCCTCAGTGTTCCAGTTAACCAAGTTGACCTTACTTGGAATTACCGGGGAATACTTGGAAATACTGTACAAATTTGAGAAGTATTTCCAGAAACTGGAAATCACTATACGTTTTTTCGTGAGTGGTTGACTCCTCGGTAATTTCAGTGATTAGGGCCAATTGACGAATCGTCTACAAATCTCTACTTGATGGTTCGGATGCAGATGCTCTCTATTCAAAACTCTTATGGTTAACTTTGTCATGGTATACCTAAGCACAATTCTGTGGTTACAGCAATCATAAATTATTGTACAGTCTCTATTAAGAATGTGATAAGAGAATGATTTAAAAACGTTTCAGTTTTCACGACTCATAAAAATAATAGGTATATAGTGTTTTCACATGCATCAAGAGAATGATTAAAAAATGTGTTGAATCATTGTACAATCATGTATCAGTAATCAATAATACGTGTAGATATGACATTGGTACAAAACTATCCTCCTGATTAAATTTTGAATGCACATATTATGCATACAGGAAACAATGTGTTCATTTAAGATTTTCTTGGGGGTGGGTCTGGGAGGTTGAAAGGGAGGAGGTGAATTTCGCATAAAAACTCATGCCCTTTCAAATTATAGTTGACGTGTTTCAAGGATTTTTTTTGAAAATTTTGCAACTCCGAGATATTATGGGTGGTTGGTAATTTTTAAAATGAACACCCTGAATATATGTAACGCAAAACCCTTGAACTTCATTTTCAATGATTTATTTATTCGAAATCCGATTCCGGATTGGTACCTTCATCACCATTGAAGTCATCATCCTCATTCAAAAGTAAAATATGTCTTCAACAGCAATGATAGTTGGATTGCCCACATAGCACAATGGCTCTTATGTACCATCCTTGACGAGCCAGCCATAGTGTGTGGGCTCCAAGAAAGAGCCGTTTTTCTTGATGGAATTTTGTCACATTGATGGACACACATAAACTGTTCTCTCTTCTCAACAATTTTTGTTTCAAAGAACGCCAACAAGGTGCTATTGTGCTGACGTCCTTCAAATTTTTCGTGCAGAACAGTTTTTCAAATATTTCATATTTCATAGAGGGCCGGATCTAAGCTTTTACATTTTTTCATGGAGTATATCCGCAACGTGAATTCTTGAATCCCTACAATGACATTTTCATTTCTTTTCATTTTTTAATTTTTATCTTAGAACTATCCCTATTGAAATAATTCGGAAATTTCTTATTACCGCAGTTAGTCCTTATCTGGATTGATTTCCATCCACGTTTGTGTGAAGTCCTCTTGTATGGGAATATCATTTTCCTTTATTTTATTTATTTCAGTTTTGCTTATCAGTGTTTCTGTCTCTCCTTTTTATCGCCATCCTTGAAATGTTTTGAAGCTACAATTTTTGTTAACAACTTAAATATTTTATAACAATTTCTTTGTAGGCATTATGCAAAAATAAGAGTGAAGGCGTCCCAATAAGGATAAATGACAAACTTGCTTTAAGACCACAATTTTTGAAGCACGGCGATACCTTATCGATTATAGACATGGAATTCCGGTATTTAAACGAACATGTAAAAGATAAGGTAAATAATTGAATTATTGTCTACTGACCAATAGATATCACAGGTCGATTTTTTTCTAGCCTGAAGATTTCTTTGCCAAAGAAAAACTAGGATTAATTCCCATAAGAAAATCAGTGAATCCTTTACCGAAGACACCTGCAAGGTAAGTTTTTCAAAATTTCTAGTAATTTTCAATATTTTGGATGGTTGCTTTTTTTATCTGGTACCTTAATTTCTAAATCAAGATAGGGGTTGGTAAAAAGCAGCAGGTGTTTATGTACTTTGGGTCAATTTTTGTTCGGTAAATGTTAGATTAAAAACTATCTTTGATACACTTTTTCTAGATTATGGCTCACTATCGGTTGACGTCCTATAAAATCAACTTTGGGTATTTTTTGTACACTTTGGTAAACTGGAGAGTCCTTTCTCTTTTTTGTCGTAACATGGTTGTTCCTAATGTTTGTATTTGTCCTTATGTTAAACATATGGTATCCGTACTCAGTTGCATTTTCTTTTGATCAAATTCTTCTTCATGTAATGTTTTAACTTGCTTTGTTCTAGGCATTTCACTTGTCTGATAATCAAAAATGGAAATTGCTGATATAACTACTGTTCACTAAGAGTTGACCATGCTAATGAAAATATTGCTTTTATTTCTTTATTTTGTGTTCTTTGTGATTTATCCAATAGGTATTCACTGGCTTTTCCCAACACGGAATTAAGTACCTGAGATGCGGTCTAATAAAACTGTTATAGTAAATACCGTGTGTTTTTATTTAATTGATGCGCACACCTTTTTACTGCCCCTATAAAAAGTACTACTCTTTGAGTCACACTTTCAATGTGGGTCTCCCATGATAACTTACTTGTGATTAGAAGACAGGAGGACCCAAATATTTATCGAGATATCTATATTCATTCACTTTTTTTGAAAACCTTAATTTTGTAAAGTTTTCTGCTTATTAATAATAAATTTATTATTACATAAGTACATAAACATGTAATAATGAATCTAAATAACGTATGCTAAATTTCTACAAACTTGGTATTGTACTGGTTTGGTAACATGTAACATTTGTTTCAGAATAACATCCACACCAACTCCACATAAAAATTTGAATCTAAGTTTGAGAGCAAACGAAACAAAACTGTCACGTTTTCCCAAATTGAACCAAACATTGCAGAAGAGTGTGGCTAGAACAAAAACTCCTAATTACAGGACTCCGAACAAAGACACAGTCCAAAAAAAATTGATTCCGAAAACTCCTAATTTGGCGAATATTTCTGAGCAAGATTTGATAGCGTTTTCTCCATTAGCACAACCTTTAAGGATGGATCATGAGGACGTAGGAGAAAATATGTCTGATTTACCATCAGAACCTCAATTTAATGAAAGTGACAATGAACCATCGAGCATGTCTCTGGGCCTAGATGTAAATATATCCGAAAGCTCCAATAAAACTACAAGACAATCAAAGCTAGAGGAACCTGTTAATTCTGATGTAGGGGACGAAGATGTAGATTTTTCAAGATCGGAGATTTTTGAGGAATCTGTTGAAGAGCAAAGAAATTTTGTTACCGTCAGGCCCAGAAGATTAGTTCAAGAAGCGAAAATTAGTGAAAAATCACAAACAAGAAGTTCAGCTTCACCTGTAAATAAAGATAGCACTGTGAATTCATTAAAGGCTTTCTTCACCATGGATTCTTCTGTTTGTGAAAGTGATACAGGTGTTATGGACCACGTAGATAAAACTATGACTACGCTTAAAGAATCTGTATCTGAATCTGAATCTAACCACTCATTGTATGACATTAATTATGTTGATGATGTAATTTATGAAGCTCCTAATGAAGATGACATCATTCCTGAAACACAACAGGCTAATGACGATAGTGTTTTCCTAGAACAAAATGATGCAATAGAAGGAGTAGGAAACAAAGCAAGAACAGGCACGGTTTTAAGTGACAGTTTTAACTCGGTTTATCAGGATACAAAAGATGAGGCTTCTGTATCACTTAGAAGCACAAGGCTTTTGAAATCAATTAGAAAAACTAGAAGTGTGACGAATGAACACATTCGAGAAGCTCATAGTCTTTCCAGAAGCTCAAAAAAGAAATCTTCAGAACATGTCAGTGCTGTTAGTAGTGATTCAGACACTCTTCAGGATAAATTAACCCAAGATGCTGGAGAAATGTCAGAGTCAAGGGACACTACTCTGGATAAATCATTAACTGCTTCAGAATCGAGGGACACTATTCAGAATAAATCATCCAAGTGTGTGAGTACTTTTGATAAATCAACACAGGATGCTACAAATATCTCATCAAAAGACACTATTCAGAACAAATCTAAGCGTGTCAGTACTTGTGTGGACTCGGCCACAGAGAGTGGAGAAATGCCAGACTCAAGGAAAACTACTCTGAATAAATCAGTAACTGCACAAGTCATGAACATATCTGCTTCAGAATCAAGTGACACTATTCAGAATAAATCATCTAAGCGTGCCAGTGCTTTTGATGAATCAACACAGGATCCTGTAATTGAATCGGTGGTAGAATCAAAAGTCCTTGTTCAGAAAAGATCATCTAGGCGTATTAGTACTTTTAATTATTCAACACAAGATGCTGCAAAAATTTCATCTTCAGAATCAAAAGACGCTGTTCAGAAAAAATCATCTAAGCGTGTCAGTACTTATGTGGAATCAACTATAGAACCTGGAAATATTTCAGAGTCGATGGAAACTACTCCGAATAAATCATTGAAACCCATCGCTGCACAAGTCGTGAACATCTCTGTTTCAGAATCGAGGGACAGTATTCCGAATAAATCATCTAAGTGTGTCAGTGCTTTTGATGAATCAACACAGGATCCTGTAAATGAATCGGTTATAGAATCAAAGGACGCTATTCAGAAAAGATCATCTAAGCGTTTTAGTTGTTTTAATTATTCAACACAAGATGCTGAAAATACATCGTCTTCAGAATCAGAAGACTCCATTCAGAATCAATCATCTAAACGTGTCAGTACTTATGTGGAATCAATTACAGAGGCTGGAAATATTTCAGAGTTGATGGAAACTACTTCGAATAAATCATTAAACCCCATCAAAGTCGAGAACATATCTGCTTCAGAATCGAGGGACACTATTCCGAATAAATCATCTAAGTATGTCAGTGATTTAGATGAATCAGCACAAAATGCTGTAAATGAATCAGTTGTAGAATCAAAGGAAACTATTCAGAAAAGATCTTCTAAGCATATGAGTACTTTTGAGGATTCAACACAAGATGCTGAAAATACCTCGTCTTCAGAATCAGAAGACGCTATTCAGAACAAGTCATCTAAGCGTGTTAGTACTTATGTGGAATCAACCACAGAAGCTGGAAATATTTTAGAGCCAATGGAAACTACTCTAAATGAATCATCTAAACCCATTACCACAAAAATAGAAAACATTTCAACTTCAAAATCAGAGGACACTAGTCAGAATAGTACTTTTGATGCTGCAAATGTACCAGCTTCAGAATCATCTAAGCGCATTAGTACTTTTGATGAGTCGACCCAAGATGCTGTAAATATATCGACTTCAGGACGAAAATCAAAACGCATGAGTACTTTTGATGAATCCACACAGGTTGTTGAGAAGTCAAAACATGATACTCAAGATGAAGAATCAAGAGTAACTACTCTGAACAAGTCCTCAAAACGCATCAGTACTTTTGATGAGTCAACCCAAGATGCTGTAAATATATCGACTTCAGGACAAAAATCAAAACGCATGAGTACTTTTGATGAATCCACGCAAGTTGTTGAGAAGTCAAAACATGATACTCAAGATGGAGAATCAAGAGCAACTACACTGAACAAGTCCTCAAAACGCATCAGTACTTTTGATGAGTCGACCCAAGATGCTGTAGATATATCGACTTCAGGACGAAAATCAAAACGCATGAGCACTTTTGATGAATCCACACAGGTTATTGAGAAGTCAAAATGTGATACTCAAGATGCAGAATCAACAAAAGAAGTTTTGCAGGATGTTAGTGAAATGAATCCCACTGACATTTTGGATGATACTGAATTTTTGTCTCCGGTTAGGCCTTTGAAGAAATCCATGAGAGTTCAGGCTAGTGTGGTAAGTGATTTTTGTTTGGTGTTTAAATTGGAACTTTTAAAGAGAAATTCACTTTTCTGGCTTGACTGTTTTATAAGCCATCCTATAAAATATGAGAAGAATTTTCATAAGACTTATCCATGATATTGTATTTTCCAGGCGGATATCTCCAACAATACGGAGCTACACGGATCAACATTGAGTCAAACGGTAAAATGTCAATTGTCAAACTCCTCAATGACGGAAACAAGTTTGAATCCGAGCAGTACCTCTGCTAAATCTGTGTCCTCGCAGTCGTTCTCCAGTTTCAAACATAACAAACCCGAGACTCCAAAGGCTGGAAAACTGGAAGAAACTGGAATACTAGAAGAAACTGAAATAATTGATGTGCTGAATTTTACTGATGTAGGCACAGTTCAGTCTCCAGATGTTGCAGTTGATATTGATACAACCAGAGCTTCTATGAGTAAATCCAGAGCTTCATCATTGGCAAAAAGAAGGTAACAATTTTATTTTAATCTTTATTTATAGCTCTTAGCTAGAAAACATACAAAAAAATTAGATATTTACATTATTAGAATAGTTATTTAATCACTAGTACTACTAGTACGCTATGAGCTTCATTACAATAACAAGTGGGGAATATTGCCAAGTCGTGGTAATCACCTGAGTGGTGTACTGAGCGTTACCGAACGTGTGATATACAATATTTTATGTACGACTCAGATTTTTTTTCATGTTTTCGAAATGGTTTTAATTTTTCACAATAAATTATATTAATAATTTTTGATAAATGAATTTTAAAAAGTGCAGTTTTTCAATAAAAATTAGTTACGTAATAAGCTCTTACAGTGTAGGTCGTACATAAATAAAGGACCACGCACGCATCTTATGAGAAAAAAGAAATTTCTTTTCGACCTCCTGAACGTAAGTTCTTGTAGGCCCAAAAAGATCCTATGATTAGTTTTGGAGATACAGGACCGATAAAAAAAAGTAGTACAAGAAAAATCTCCAGAATCTGCTGGTACATTATAGTTATTTATGTATCAAGAGTACTAAGTAGATGATTATGCCCTGAGGGCGACAGCCTTACAAAGCTGAGGGTCTCTGGCCCGAGGGTTCGTAAGTCGCCCGAGGGTATATATCTATTAGTACCTGTGGTACATACTAGTTATTTATGTCATACCAGTACATTATTGTCTTTTTATACCTTAGATACCATCTACATAATTCATCACCTTATGCCCGCACATTATAAATTGCAGGGCTGTTTCGCAGGAATGCTCTTTTCTGAATCCTGACTGTTCTTTTACTATAATATCACCTTTATCTATATGTTTTGTAAGCTGCTCTTTAACTACCAATTCCAAAACTTTTTCATATATTGGAAGCGTGCTAACTGGACGAAACTCAGTGCAATTTGTTGTATTGGGTATTTTTTGAATAGGAACCACTGCCGATACTTTCCAATTATCTGAGAACTCTCCCTTTTCCAATGATATATTAATTAGATTTAGTAAATAGTTTCCTACTATCTCATTTGTAAGTTTTAAAATGTTAAAACTGATTCCATGTTTATCTGAATTGTTTTTCCTTAGATTTTTAATGATTCTGTTTAATTCATTGTGGCGAATTTTTCTAAATTGTGGAAGTTGTTGCCCCGCAAAAGATATTTCTCTAACCATTTCTACGTTATCCTGTGTAGGTTTGATAGTTTCAACAATATTTTTAATGCTATTTGTACAAAGTAATACTTAAAAGAGCTCGCAATCAATTCATTTGAACTTTGTATTCCATCCTCGAAGTGAATGGGTCTTTCCCATGATTTTTTTGTATTGGCTTATCTGAAAGGGTAATCAAAATAAAGCCCAGAAATATTTTTTTCGGATTTTTTTGGTACCGGGAAAGGCCTTAAATTTTCATTTGAAATTCAAAATTTCTAGGATGGTGACGTCACGCGCCTAGATTTTCTATTGGCTGCTTTCTTCCAGTGGTTGATGATTTCACGAAATTTCTCTACGAATTGTGTTCTCAAAGTGACATATGGATTCGATAACCCATCGATCTCTATGAATTTAACCTCATTTTTGATATGTAAACAAAGAGTAATTTTATTTTATTAATTTGAAAATATAGCTGGGATTCAATAAACTAAAATTGTGCCGTTTCCAAAAACCCATTTACCTGAATTTTGGTTTTTATTGGGGCTTGTGAGGGTTAAACCGTGGTCGGTCGGTGGACTAATTAGGTACCTACTTCACATTAGAATTTTAAACCTGATGCATTCAAAAGAAACATGTACAGTGTGGTCATTTTATCTTGATAACATTTTAAACTGTCATACTTTTTTTATTTTTAAAGTTATTTAAATAAATAAAAAAACATACTGTAAGGTTGGTTTCCGAGTTTCAGATAGGGTGGACAAAAAACGAAAGACTAATATATTTTGACAGTTATGCGAACACATACCTTTTTTTTAAATAGAAAACCCAGTAATTTTTTAGTTTGTTTGATAATATGTTTCATTCTGATTGCAATATATATAATACAATACAATTGAATACAATTTACTTTATATTTAGATGCAGAAATGTTTCATTTATTCTAACTGAAAATATTGATTACCTACACAGATTACCTGCAAAGGTAGGTAGGTAGGCAGAATTTTCCATTAGAATAAATAAAACACTTCTACACGTAAATATAGAGTAAATTGTATTCAAGTATATTGTATTGTATATATTGCAATCAGAATGGAACATATTATTAAACAATTCAACAATTTACTGGATATTCCATTGAAAAAAATGTTATTTGTGTCCATATCTGTCAGAATATATTAGTCTTTTGTTTTTTGTCCACCCTATCTGAAACTTGGGAACCAACCCTACAGTATGTTTTTTTTTATTTATTCAAATAACTTCAAAAATAAAGAAATTATGACAGGTTGAAATGTTATCAAGATAAAATGACCACACTGTACATAACTATGAACAAATAAATAACAACATTTATACCATTTAATTTTGTTTTAAAAGTTTATTAAAATCGATAATGGTTCCAGGTTTATACAATATATTATATTACAAATGCAATATAGGGTGTCCGGAAAATAGCGTAAAAGCTCTTCACTACGTGGTGGAGGACCCTTCAAGGAACCCCAGAAATAGTTATTTATGTATCAAGGGAATTATGCAGGTGTTAATACCCCAGGGCAACGTTTGTGTCCCGAGGGCCTCCGGCCCGAGGGACACCAATTGCCCGTGGGTATTAACTCCTGATAATTCCCGTGGTACATAGATAATTTTATATCCTACTGAATTTACTGTATTCTGTCTATTTTTATAAAGGAATAAGCCATAAATCAAACTTTCTATTTTTTGTCAAAGTGTTACCTATTCAAGGTAAAAGCGGGAGTTATGGAAATCCTTAACTCCCTTGGGAGTTATGATATTCTTAACTCCCTTCCTTAACTCCCTTGGGAGTTATGAAAATCCTTAACTCCCTTGGGAGTTAAGACCCTGTTTATGATTATCGTAACCAAGGTATTATATGGTTTTAATAGTTCAGTAGGATATAATAGTTATTTATGTATCAAGGGAATTATGCAGGTGTTAATACCCCAGGGCAACGTTTGTGTCCCGAGGGCCTCCGGCCCGAGGGACACCAATTGCCCGTGGGTATTAACTCCTGATAATTCCCGTGGTACATAGATAATTTTATATCCTACTGAATTTACTGTATTCTGTCTATTTTTATAAAGGAATAAGCCATAAATGAAAATTTCTATTTTTTGTCAAAGTTTTACCTATTCAAGGTAAAAGCGGGAGTTATGGAAATCCTTAACTCCCTTGGGAGTTATGATATCCTTAACTCCCTTCCTTAACTCCCTTGGGAGTTATGAAAATCCTTAACTCCCTTGGGAGTTAAGACCCTGTTTATGATTATCGTAACCAAGGTATTATATGGTTTTAATAGTTCAGTAGGATATAAAATAATTTAAAAGATCTGGTGGCATTCCTAAGAATGTTATTAGCATTTTAATGCCTATTAAAATTGGCAACAATCAACAATCAGAATATCCTGTTGACAATTTCTCACAGAATTAAATTAAATACCTATGTAATTACCTGAAAAATTCGGTGACTAATAAATGTTGTCAGATCAATTTTTCCTGTTGTAATTTAGAGATTTTGCAACTTTCATAATGCGTTTTAACAGTTAATAAAAAAGTTTATTAAACCATTATGTTATAAATCTACAAAAGATACCTAACACTTTGTACGAAATATTGCAATTTGGGAAAAAAAATCAAAAATAAGGAAGTTGAATTTTGACATTTACCTCTTCATATTGTCAAGAATGGTTAAGAAAGATTTTTTAAATTATTTTTCTAGGGTTCCTCGAAGAATCCCCTACTACGTAATGGAGAGCTTCTACGCTATTTTCCGGACACCCTGTATAGCTAAGTATCAGTTTATGTGTAGGTACAAAAATCGCCTTAATCCTACTTATTTGAATGATAATATGATACAATCAACTTTCAATTTATTTATTCACAGAAACTCCATTTTAACAGTTTTCACAACAATAATAAAATATGTATAACAGTGTAGTAGAGTAGTAACAGCTGAGAATGCTATTATTTGCTTCATCTTCTACGACTCTTATTTGCTCTTATGTACTTTGTGTTATGGGGTTATTCTACAGTTCTACACTGAACAGCAGGTACAATTATGTTGGCTTCCTGTCTTCAGTTGTACATAACTAACAGCATTATTCTATTTTTGCAGGTCATTGGTTTTTGCTTATCTAAAAACAAAAAAAAAACTCAGTTGTAGTAGGTACCTAACCTACTTTGGACAATAGATGAGTTAATGCTTGTTTGTTGCTTATTATAATTATGTTAAGATAAATCTACAACTTTTATTATCTGTAAAAGGCAGTTTTGGTAAAAAATAACGCAAAATAAATCTCACCTTTTTAAAATCACATTTCTTATTTCGGTACTGATTGCATTCCGACACCATTTCCATGATCACTTGGGGTAAACTTGTAAAATCAGTTTACAAACCGAAGGGTAGGTACAATAAACAGCACAAATCGAAATTTTTTTATTTACAAAAAGTACTAGAGGTGGGAAACTATCGATATATCGATAGTTCGTTGCGGAATTAAAAATATCGAACTATCGATAATTTTCCCTAGACTATCGAATACTATCGAATTTTGTATTATTAAATTGGTAACACTAGGCGAATTATTTTATTCATCGATGGATCCATCTGTTGAAAGCATTATGAGACAGCTATTCCGATTTTCTATGAACTAGACAAAGATAGACAGGTCATCGATGGAGCCATCGGTGAATAAAAGAAAGCGCTTACTGACTAGGAGTGGTGACAGGTCGACAGCTGATGCTGAATTCTGACAGGAGTAACGGAATGAAAAATGGCCGACGTAGGGGGGCGCTTCCATTTCGGAAAGGTTATTCTCGAAG